ATATTCTGGGAAGGAAATCAGCTTACAGTACAAAAAACTACAGACACTACAGACGTACATGATGGGTGTTAGCTACTGGAGGTGGGACTCACCAGACAGTCCATGATACGATACCATCATTTCAATCACGATACTTTAATAATGCAATGTGCAGACTATTGTGCATTATTGCCTTTTGTCACCTTTTTTCAATTGCAAATTGTATCCTCAAAGTTAGACTTTGCCCGTATCCGTTTTATCCAATGAGATAAAGTTTAGACATATGAGTTACATTTTGCAGTAAAATGTAACATTGTCAAACCTTTATATCACAGTGCCATTAATAGATGGACTAAGGATCTGTTTATCATTAGGTGTAAATGTTCATTTAAAGGCATAAAGGCAAGAAAAAGGTTTGAGCCTCAGACCCTCAAGAAACATTTAAGTGGAGGCCTCAAGTGTGTCCAATATTCAACATATCAGACTGTCTTTCCTACTGGAAGCTGATTTTAAAGTACAAAATCACTGAGAATGAGAAAATAATTTTTCCTCAGACTCCACATTAGATTCATTTCAGACTTTCTGCTCACCCCGTCATATCCTTCTTTCTGCTTCATGGGGTTTGGGTTGAGGAGTCCGACTACTGTGCCCGTCTCAGTCTTCCAGTGCTCTTTGTGAACTTCACCAAACAGAAACAGAGACACAAACACTTCCAGGTTATGGAGGTCATTGAGTTTCCAGATGCTAAAGGTTTTGCCCTGCAGAGAAGAAAGTGCTCAATCAGGAATATTACAGGATAAATGTATTTATCATCCGCATAGAAATATCTTCTTAGTGCTACCACGAAGGTTTTTGACTTCCACAGGGAAAAATAAATAAATAAAACAAATCCGAGCATCATGCAAGCAATACTGAAATAGTTTGGTTTAATTAACTCCAACTTAAATATATTAAACACCAAAAATTCTTTGCCTCCTGTATATGCAGAACAATCCTACTTCTGTTCAAAGTCATCCCTAAAGGCTGGATTAAAACCAGAAAAACTCATCCTTAACTACTCTTTTACAAAGAGTTTTTATTCATTTCTTTTGTATATTTTTCTATGAAACTGTCACTGATGCTGCACAAACAAAGTCCACAAGGTCTGACTTACACTGCTGTTGCTTTGAGGCGTGGCTTTATTGACCAGCACAGCAAACGTCACCCAGTCGCTGTCTTCCAGCTTCTCCCGAGCCATACGCTCCGGTAACTGTGACAGTCGAATCAGACGGCGGTCAGCCATCTTACGGTCCATCTCGCTAGAAGAAACACGTGGTTTTCTGAGGAGACAAACAGAACCGAGCCAAAGACTTAAAAACACAGGAATGGGAAAAAACAAAACAAGAAAACCTAATTCAACTGACAACTTGTCATCACTTCAGTGCTCTGACCTGAGCCGCAGTCCTGAATATTTCTCAAGAGCCACGTCTTTGGAAAGAGATGGATAAGAAGGAGCTTTAGGCTGCACTGTTGACGCAGCTGCTGCAGGTCTGCTATGGGACGCTGAAGGTGAGCGCAGAGCATCAGGGGCTGTGCTGGTGCTCTCTATGGGCTTGAAGGAGCTGCCGATCTTTATCTCTACCAGTGGTCCTCTGCTTTCTGAGGGGAGCACAGCCAAGAAAAACTCAGACACAGAACGTACGTGCATCACTCTAATGTGTGTGACGACACAATCACTTTGTTTAAGGAAAAACTGGAGTTTTACCCGGTGATGTGCTGGGTTTAGGTTGGTGAGCCACTCTCGGTTTGCTTTTAAATGAGTCAGCAAAGCTGAGCTGAGAAGAAAACTCAGAGGACTCCTGGAGCTTGAGGCTTCCTGCTCTTGCTGGAGTGGATGAAGACGCTAGTGGAGGGATGGAAAAAAAGAAGAAGAAGAAAGCATTCATGAAACATGAGGTGGGTTATAGCTATAACAAAACTATACACAAGAAAAACTGCTTTACTGCAGTCGCACAGAGAGAAGGTTAGACACAGTACAATGTGCTTGAGCACTACAGAGGGAGTTGGCATCACTGTTTTCTTTACCTGCTGGTGTCTTCTGTGTGTTAGTGGCTGGTCTGGCCTGGCTCAGTTTGGAGGCCGGTTGCTGGGTAGGTGCAGGTTTGGGTCTCACTGGTGTGACACTTGGTGAGTTTTTTCCTGAAGTCTTGGCTGAAGAGGCTGACGGGACTGAGACTTTCTGGCTGGCCTCCAGCTGCTGCTGCAACCTCTCCATCTGCTCCTTCATCCGCCTCAACTCCTCTGAAGAAGAAAAAATGCATAACAAAATTAAGCTGACAACACAGGCTCAGCATGTAGCTCCACTAAACTCCACTGTACATCAACAAACCTTGTAAATCCTCTTTCGACTTGTTCAGGTTCTCACGGTCACCCTCTGATTCTTTGTCCTTCTCCTCTTGTTTGATGTCATTCACATCTCCAAAGAGCTCCAACATCTCGTCCACATTGTGCTCTTCCTCCTCGACGCCCTCTTTGTACTCCTCGTCATTTTCCTCATCAAACAGCCCGTCCAGATCGTCCGCCTGCTCCTGGCTTTCTTGTTCTTCGCCAATACCCTCGCTCTCAGCCAGCAGCGCAGTCAGAATATCCAGATCATCCTCACCTGAGTGAAATGCACATGCACTCATTTGTGTCTTAACCCACTGATAAAGCAGTATTCTCGTGAGCTTTAAATCAGACACTTACTCTCCATTTTAAGGAATTACACTGTGTCGTTGATGTCAAATCACCTGGTCACCTACAGAAAGGCAAATATGTGGAATTACTTTGGCAGAACCTCAAGAAAGACCCGCAGAAAACAAAAACAATAAAAACCCAGATGTGGGCTGTAATTTCCACAAAGAAAAAAAACATTCAAGAAAACACATTCTTTAAATGCTTGACTGAATTGTGAAACTGTTCAGACCACACAGCAGCACACGGGAAAGTGTGATAACACACTCCAGCAGCCGTGTTTCTCATGTATCCAAGGTGTCCAGCTGACCACCTGAGAGATTACAGACTTTACAAGACAAAGTTAAACAAGCCGTGTCATGCTCCAAGTTAGATGCTGTCTTCGACCCTCTTTCTCAAGGTTACAAACTTCTAAAGTTAACCGAATGCTGCATCTTTCATAATGCTTGTGTTATGTATACAGTAATATAGAATTTAGACTTAACAAGAGGCTTTGTGAGCTTATCCCAATATATTATCTCTCTCAAAACTTTGAAAACAGCTTCTCATTTAATGGTTTTTCTTTATTTTTACTACTTTCTACATTGTAGATATAAACTGAAGACATCAAATATAAATAGCTGCTAAGAAACCACAACTAAGGAAAAGCAACAAGCAGAAGAGATTTGTTTAGACCGGTGGAAATCTGTGCTTTGGTCTGATGAGTTCAAATTTGAGAACTTTGGTTCCACCTGCCGTGTCTTTGTGTGACACAGAAAAGGTAAATGGTCTCTACATGCATGGTTCCCACCATGAAGCATGAAGGAGGAGGTGTGATGGTGTGGGAATAGTTTGCTGGTGACATTGCTGGGGATTTATTCAAAACTGAAGGCACACTGAACAAGCATGGCTACCACAGCATCCTGCAGCAACATGCCATCCCATCTGGTTTGGGTTTAGTTGGACCATCATTTATTTTTCAACAGCACAATGACCCCAAACACACCTCCAGGCTGTATAAGGGCTATTTGACCAAGAAGGAGAGTGATGGAGTTCTGTACCAGATGGCCTGGCCTCCACAGTCACCTGACCTAAACCCAGTCAATGTGGTTTGGGATGAGATGGACCACAGAGTGAAGGCAAAACGGCCAACAAGTGCTAAGCATCTCTGGGAAGTCCTTCAAGAGTTTTCCATTTCAGGTAATCACCTGAAATGGAAAACCATTTCAAAAATGAAGCTAATCAAGAGAATGCCAAGAGTGTGCAAATCAGTAATCAAAACAAAGGACAGGTATTTTGAAGAATCTAAAATATAAAACATGTTTTGAGTTATTTCACACCATCCATCCATTCGCTTCCACTTATCCTTTTCAAGGTCGCAGGGGGCGCTGGGGCCTATTCCAGCATGACAGCTGGAATAGGCCCCAGAGGCGGTATACAACCTGGACAGGTCGCCAGTCTGTCACAATTATTTCACACATTTTTGTTTACTACATAATTCCATGTGTTCATTCATCGTTTTGATGCCTTCAGCAAGAATCTACAATGTATATAGTCACGAAAATAAAGAAAAAACCTTAAATGAGACGGTGTGTCCAAACCTTTGACTGCTAGTGTAGATGCACAGCTTGTCCAGCTCTTGGCAAAATAATTTTACATCCAACACAATTTCCTGCACTGATGAGATATCACCCTGTTACCTCCTTGCTGGGGACACATTAGCATAAAAAAAGAATTCCAGATTTTCCGGCAGAGGTTGGAGCAATCTCTTCACGATGCAAGTAATAATTGAAACTACAGTGATATGAAAAACAGTTTTCACAGGACTCTATGCAGTGCTGTGCAAAAACTAAGCACAAAGCACAATTTAATAGCTTGTAGAATCACTTTTAGCAGCAGTAACTTAACAGTAACTAACCCTCTACATACATTAAATCAATTAATTGTGTATTACACTTTACTGCACAGTATAGAACAGTGCAACACTGTGAGCTACTGAGCACAATTAAAATCCTGTCTGTAGCTCACCCAGTTGTTTTAAAGACGCTAACAGCTTTAACACTCATTCTATGTGAAAACGAAAAGGTGTCCAAAGTATTAAAATCTAGGTTCAGCCTAAAGTGGAGATAAGTTAAGCTTGACTTACAATGTAAAATGAAACGACTAAGTGGTTACACTTAACCCGGTAAAAAGCAACTAAGAGCATAAATGTTTGAAGATATGGACAGCCGCTTTCCCAAGTGAATATAAAACTATAATTCTGCATATGTATATATACACAAACAAACAGCTTCTATTCATTTATGACCAAGTCAAAGATAATGAGACAGTTTACCTTTTGCAACTTTGCGTCTTCCTTCACTCAAGCACCCCGAAAACCACCTTACCGGATGTTACGACCACATTCAACCTCTCGAAAATAATGTCTACTGTCCTAAGTAAAGCCTTTCGTACAAGTCATTCGGTTATATTTAATAAAAACGACACAATAAACCTCATTGTAATTCACAACACACAGGCCGGGCGAGGGAGAAAATCCAAACTGGCGCTAAACGAAGGACCCCGTTGTGTTGTCGGAGTGCTGGTAGGTGCCCAAAATCTTGCCTGATTTAAAAAAAGAAAAAAAGAAAAAGAGATTAATGGGTGGTTGCTCGGATAGCAATTTCTTTGATTAGATATTAATATGAGCTAGAAGTAAAAAAAACAAAAAAAACAACATAAGCTACTACTGAGTAGATTTTGTTGTATTATTTATACAGGGAAACCCCAGTCACCTAAAATGTAATTTCACGGGACTTTAAAACATGAAGTCACGTCAATATTGAAACATTTTTAATACTTACAGTCGACTGTGATTAAGATGTGAAAAGCCCTAAAGGGTATCTTTAAACAGGAAGGTAATGTAATATGCGAAGTGCTTTTATAACAGCATTAGCTCTGGCTTATTTCATCGTATTTAACTAAAATGTTTGTTTCATTTTTATAATATATGAAGAGTGACATCAGACATGAGTAAAAGCAAACACATTTGCAAACGCTTTTATTTTCTTTCACCGAACTTGAATCAGGAAGGTCTTTACAGTCTACAGAGTACAGATTCTACCTGCACTTTAGTGACAAATTGATCAGGTTAAATACATTATATTCTGATTATCAGGTACAATATGCAAAGTCAAAATAAAATATATATCTTTCATAAAGTGCCTACATGGTGAATGCTGCTTTTACCACCAAACTATGAACTAAAATATCCTTAGTGAGGAAAAATATAGAAGCAATTTCATTTTAATTTGAAAAAGAATCCTTCAAAAATATAGAAAGCCTTCAGCAACCAAATACTTGTAAACAGATGCAGCTTTTAAAGGCTCAACTTTGGTTGATTTATTAATATATTTATGACCAGTGGTCAGTGCTTAACTAAAATCTTACCAAAAGGTCTATGCAGCTTCTGTTTTGTTTGCTCTGAACTTGTTTTGCCCCTGAAAATTTTCAGCTTGCTTCAGACAACACAGCTACAAAAAAAAAAAAAAAAATCCAACAATGTGACGGACAGCATGCCGCATGATAGGTGGTGTTCTGTAGAATGTTTTCTATACTGTTCTGAGTGTTTGTGAGCAACTTTTAAATGTACAACAAAATACAGTCAACATACTCTTTTTACATGTTTTCCAAACATCACAGTTTGGCTTCTTCCAAAAGCAAAGTGTTCCCACCCGAGAATAAATTTTATTAATCCCATATGGGATCTCTTGGAGTGAAGAGGTACAGGACAAAGCAGAGGAAGACTCCGATTAGGTGATGATGCAGCCGCTGTTGCCGTGAATGCTTATATGCTGTGACGCACGTCTAGTTGATGCAGTCCATGATGTGGATCTGCAGGGAGTCCAGGTCTGGAAGGATCTCATTACACTTGGGACACGCATGCTCAGGGATATTCCCCTGATGCTGCCAGTCAGTACCTGAAAGTGAGAGACACCGATCACAACTCTAGCCTGCTGGATGGCTGTTCCAGTTCCACTTGTATTTTCTGACAGACTGATTACACCACAAAGGTCATTCAGTCGAATGTTTTGGCTATACTGGATGATTTTTGCTGCATCTAACTATCATTTTGCAAAAGGTCAGGTAACGTTCCTTAATCGCAAAGTCATTACTTGCGGAGAAAAATCTTGTGCAGTTCCTGTCAGCAGTAAAAGTACCCAAAAAAAAGAAACAAGAGCTGAGGCAAAAACAATGGAAATAAAAATTAATGAAAAGTCGGTGTATTCCCTGTAACATCCAGTAAAGGGCAGCTATGGTTAAAAAAACCAAAAAAAACCAAAAACAGGTCTGATTGTATATTTTCTTAATGACTTCATTGTCTCGTTTGGTAGATTCATGTCTTAGTTGCACCTAATTATGTAATGCTCATTATATAACTTATAAGAAGATTAAGCAGGGAATGTATTAGGGTCTGGCTACTCTGGGATTCCCTTGTCTGGCGAACAATTGTAATGAAAGACACCCAAAGAATTTGACTTTTGTTTTTTTTCTTCATTTTTGGCAAGTAGCCTACATTTTATATTAAACTGCTTTTTCACTAGCCAAAAACACCATTCAAATAACATCACACAACATTACCGTAAAAACCAAGCTGGCTAATCACCTCATATTTCGATCCAAATATAGTGGCATGTGTTTCAAAACACCATCTATCTCCTTTTGGTATAAAAGAGATAGATAGTAAATTAGAGTAATTGTATTTCTAGCCAGTAATAACATCCAAATAATCAAAATGTCAGAGGGGAGTCCGGTATAAGCTATATAAGAGAAAGCCAGGAATAAGGTTTGTGTGAGAGGTTAAATTATAACATGCTGTACCTCTTCCAACTAAAGATGGTCCACCTCCATGTGGGTTTCCACCTTGTGACAAATGTCTCCTCTGCATCTCGTTCAGTGAGCGCCTGCACACAAAGAAAAAGCTTCAGATGAGCCGAATCACGACATTATACTCAGTTTGTTTCTGTGGTCATGTCATGCAAATAGAAATGGGTTTGGCAGAATTATACAGCAAAACCTTTGTTAATTTGTAAGTTAGTTGAGCTGCAGACTCTACTTTTAAATTTCAATCCTTTATTAAATCACGAGGAGTTTTTCTCCACAAGAAGAATAGAAATTAACACATTTAGTCTGAAGAAGCTCAAATCGTGACCAGGTCAGTCCTCTCTCTGAATGCACACCTGCCCATTGAGTCCATCTCGTCTTGCAGCTGGGTGTTCTGCTTCTTCACGTACTCCAGCTGAGCAGCCAGACGCTCCTTTTCTTCGTGGAGTTTCTCCCTCGCTGCTCTTTCTGCGTGGAAGTCGGAGGAGTAGATCTCTGCCTGCAGAAAGTACAGAAAAAACAAAAACACGATGACTACCATTAAAAGTGGAGGCAATCCTGTTGTGCTGAGGCCTTCTGATTGTTGGGTTTAATGCTAGATTATATATTTCAAGTGCTCACACGTAAAGAACCACTGACCTGAGCCTGGAAAACAGATATGGTCTCCAGCTCCTTCTCCTTTTGGAACATGTCCTGCTTCATCTCATCGATCTTTTTCTGCTTAATAGCGAGAGCTTCTTCAGCTGCTGTCAGCCGCTGCTGCAGCTCCTCCGCCAGATGAGACTGCAGAACCAAACAGGATGGTAAAGGTGCCAGTTATCTCTGATTTTTTTTTTCTTAAATGCCATCAATATTTTTTTTTTTACTGCATCACGTTTGTGAAAATCAGTACGATCCACACAACACAACATAAAGTTACCTCTTTTCTCTGTTTCTCGTCTTTGAGCTCAGTGTAGTCCTCAAACAGTTTGGTGTAGGCGTCCTTCAGCTGCGCCAGGTTGTTCCTGTGTTTAGTAAATTGTGTTTAGCGATTTGTGTGACGTGACCTGATTGCTTTACAAAGCTCTGTGTAGTCAAAGTACAGTAACACAACCCGATGAAAATCAGTGTCACAATATGCCGTTTCTGCACTCTCACACAATCAGTTAATGTGTATGTATGCTTGTGTTTTCTCTGACTTCTCTTCTGCAGTCTTCCTCTGCTCCATCAAGCTCTGGGCCTGCATGCTGTTCAGCTGGAGCTTCAGTCGGTCATTCTCCGTTTGAACGGCCTGTTTCTCCACCAATTGGGCCTTCAGGGTTGCCACATCCTGCTCCACCTCCCGACATCTTCAACCCCCCCCCCAAAAAAATAAGACATATATCAAATAACACAGAACATCAGTTAAACGAGGTATAGCATTTAGTTTAGGTGGTGTTATCTTTCTGCACTTTTCTGTTTTTAAGTTTAACCCTGGAGAAACCATGGGGTCAAATTTGACCCCATGGTTTCCCTAGAAAACCAATGGGGTCGGCTCTGACCCCATGGGTTCTCCAGGGTTAAAATAATCATTTGCAAGTGTGTTTGTGTGGCCCAAACCTGTCCTGCAGGTTCTTCTTCATGCCTTCTGCTTCATCCAGTTTGCTCTGAGCCTGCTGCAGCTCTTTGTAGAGTGTCATCATCTGAGCCTTCAGATTCTCCACCTCAGAGGCCGCCTGAAATATTTGCAACAGTCGCACACGAAAAGTCACAAACTCGACGCAGGAAGGGAAAGGATTTAACCAATAATGCAGCTTTCAGCAGGACAGATCTACTGTGATATATAAAAAAATGAAAAAGAAACAAACCTTATCTTTTTTCGTAGAATCCTCTTTGGTCTCTGGCTCAGGTGTCTGGGTGAATTCCTCTACACTGGACTTTTTTTCTTCTAGCTTTCGAATTCTGTTGGATAATAGGTGAAACTAAATAATAAACGGATTATCCATAACATATTCTGGAAACAGAACTGTGACTGGGTTTTTTTTAATAGAGCAAAGACATAAGCAGACTGCTACAAATCTGTTGCTTCATCTTCAGAATAAAAACATTTAAAGCACTTTCACAGCTGAGAAACGTTTCCTTTTGTTGCTGTCTCGTACCTGGCCGTGCAGGCCTGCAGCTCGCCTTGCAGCCTCTCGCTTTTCTCCGCCTCATTCCTCAGGGACTGCAGCAGCTGGCTAACCGTCACCTCCTCATTGTCCATGCGTGACGCTGTCATGCTCGCATCCTGGCGTCTGCTGCGCTCTGCTCCCAATGCCTCGTTCACGCCATCGATACCTCCATCCTGGGAGGAAAAACAATACTAAGACACCAAGCTTCTCCTCCTGTTTGTCATTTCACCTAAATCAGGCTGAATATAAAAAAAACGAGTGTTTGATGATGATCTGTGCTAATTATCCGTCCTCACCGACACTTTGATGATCTCAATAAACGAATCATCCTGAGAATCGTGCTCTGCCTTGAGCTGTAGCTCAGAGTTCAAGGCCACCAGGTCATTCTTCTCTGCCTGCAGCCGAGCAACCTGAGCACGCAGGGCCTCCAGCTCTGCAATCTGATTGGACGATGACATTACATAGCATAAACGCAGAAATGACTAAAGTGTCCATAAATCTGCAGTGCAATATATGCGCAATATTATCAGCTTCACCTGCATTCCTCCCACAGCTCCTCCGGTCTTCC